GAAAGATGAAAAGGATGTGTGTGTATGTGTGACATATACATGTGCCGTATAAAACATTGTATACTAATAAGTTCTCTACAGGAATATTTTACCGTGATTTATGTATACTTTTGGCTAAACCTCATACTAGAGCACAGTGCACTCATTTTTATAATTCTGTATATAATCAATATAATTCAAGCTTGAATATTTGATGTTTTTAGTGTACTGAATTGAAAGAAAAAATTTAATATCAAATAAATCAATGTGTATTTTTCACTGAGATCTCTGAGCCCAGTTTTTAAAATGGTATTAAAGAAAATTTTACAACCCATACATTTAGTTTTTCTTTTGTGTGTGGTTCTCTCAGATGTAATAAAGGAACAGAATCGAGAGTTACGAGGTACACAGAGAGCTATAAGCAGAGATCGAGCAGCTTTAGAGAGACAAGAAAAACAGCTGGTAAGTAGAACATTAAATTTCAGTTTAACTTTTCAAACAAATTTGGAAATTTTATTGGAATAATTAGCTAACTAGGAAAAAGACAGATGGTAGGTGCTAAGAGATTTGCTTTACTAAAAATGGCATTGAACACCTTTCTGCTCTTTCTGCTTGCCTTTGTTTATTGTGTCATTCTGCTGACTTATCAGGATTCTGTTTATTCTGTTATTATAAAATCAAAGTATTCTTCAGTTTGTAAAAGTTATGAATGCCTAGGTAGAAAATATTGCTCATAACAGAGCCAAATTCTTTTCAGCTAATAACAAAGATAATGTAGTCTTCAAAAACAAGAGAGGGTTACAAGACACTCATAGGTGTCTTACTTGATATTTGAACTTATTTGATATTTTAAGTATCATTGTGTCTGTGATAATGAGTGTATTTTTAAAAATAGATCGACTATCTTTAACTATTTTGTTATTTTTTAAATATATGTTGCTTAAAATATTTTAATAAACAGCATGAAGTATAATTGACATGCAATAGACTGTAGATATTCAAAGAATACAGTTTGATACATTTTGACATACCTATTAACTACAATCTAGGTAATGGCCATATCCTTCATCCCTAAATTTCCTTATTCCCTTTGTAATCCTTCCTACCCATCCCTCCCTGTCTTCCTCCTCCTCAGTCAGGCAAACACTGATCTGTCACTGCAGATTAGTTTACATTTTCTAGAACTTTATATAAATGGAATCATAGAATATGAATTCTTTATTTCTATGGCTTCTTTCACTCATAACTTTTGAGATTGATCAATTTTGTTGCATATATCTGGATTAATTCCTTTTTATTGATGAATGTTATTCTATTGTGTGGATGTTTCACAATTTGTTTATCTGTTCACAGGCCAATGGACATTTGGGTTATTTCTAGATTTTGGCTATTTTGAATAAAGTTGCTATAAACATCCAATTGAAATCTTTTTGTGAACATATGTTTTCATTTCTCTTGGGTATATTCCTGGAAGTGGGATTTCTGGGTCATAGATTAAATGTATATTTAACTGTATAAGAATGCTCAACAGTTCTACGAAATGGCTGTGATGTTTTCTGTTCCCACCAGCTATATATGCAAGTAAAGCTGTTTCACATCCTGGCCAAGAGTTGAAGTTAACAGTCTTTTCCCCTGTAGCCATTCTAGTGGTGTGTAACAGATTGTCATTTTAAATTGGATTTCCTAATCGCTAATGATGTTCAGCATCTTGTCATGTGCCTGTTTGCCTTTTACATATCATCTTTGCCAAAGCGTCTACTGAAATATTTTACACATTTTTTTTAAAGTTGTTTTCTAATTATTTAGTTGTAAAAATTGTTTATATATTTTGGACACAAGTACTTTATTAAATATATCTTTGCAAATATTCTCCCCAGTTCTTGGCCTGGTCTTACATTTTCTTAATAGTATTTTTTGAAAAGCAGATGTTTTTATTTTTATCAAGTATAATTTATTGTTTTTCTGTTATTAGTACTATTAGTGTCCTAAGAAATCTTTGCCTAACCCAAAGTCACTAATATTTTCTCTTATATTTTCCCCTGGAAGTATTAAAGTTTTAGTTCTTACATTTAGAACTGTGAACTGCATTGAATTAAATCACTATGTTGTGAGGTAGGGTAGAGATTCACTCTTGCATATGGAAATTAAGTTATTCCAACATCATTTGTTGATAACGTCTTTCCCTGTTCAAATACCTTATCATCTTTGTAGAAAATCAATTGTCCTAATACATGTGGGCCTAATTCTGGACTCTATGCTATTCCATTAATCTGTGACTATTCTTAAGCCAATATTACACTTTTTATTAGTGTATCTTTATAGTAAGTTTTAAAGTTATATATAGTGTTAACTCTTCAACTTTGTACTTCTGTCTTCAAAATTGTTTTGGCTATTTTAGGTGCTTTGCATTTCCAAATGAACTTTCAAATAAAATTATAAATTTCTACATAAAAGTTCTGTTTTGATCGGGATTACATTGAATAGGTAAACTAATTTGGGAAGACTTGACATCTTAATACTATTGAGTCTTACAATCCATGAACATGTTGTATCTCTTCATTTATTTAGATCTTTCAATTTTCTCAACAGTGTTTGTACTTGTAATTAGGCTCTACACTTCTCTTATCAGGTTTATCCCTAACTATTTCATATTTTTGACGCTAGATATTTTAAAAACAAATTAAATGTCTGTTTTTTTGTTGCTGTTACGTAGAAAGAAATACATTAATATTTTCAATATTGATCTGTAATCCTGTAATCTTCCTAAACTCCCTTATTGTAGTAACCTTTATGTATAACCTATTAGATTTCTACACAATCATGTCATCTATGGATAAATTAAACTTTTTATCTTCCTTTCCAATCTTGATGCCTTTTTTTTTTTAAGATATACCTTATTACACTGGCTAAAACTCTTAATGTTAAATAGAAGTGATTATAGCAGTCATCATATTTACTGATCTTAGGAGGAAATATTCAGTCTTTCACCATAAAGTATATTACAACTAGAATTTTTGTAGACTTCCTTTCTCAGGTGAAGTTCCTTTTTATCTATTTTGCTGAAACTTTTTATCAGGAATAAATTTTGTCAATGTTTCTTATTTTTATTTTTTGCATCTATTGAGATGATTATCACATAGTTTCTCTTTAGTGTATTAATTTAGTGAATTACTTTGATTTTCCAAAGTTGAATCAAGCTTTTGCTCCTGGGATAAATGCCATTGGTAATGAGGGGGGTGTGTGTGTGTGTAAATATATATATATATATATATATCATATATATTTACACACACACACACATACATATACATGTATATATATGTATATGTTTATGTATGTATATATATATTAACTTTGTTTCAGTTTGCTGAACCTTTATTAAGAATACTTGCATTTGTGTTCCTGAAATGCATTCATTTGCAGTTGTCTTTTCATGTAGTTTTTTCCTAATCTTTATTGCTGAAAATATTACATATATCTCCTTTTTTGCCCCATTGACTTGCTTTAGCCTGCCCCATCCCCAACCCCTGGCCTTCTCTACCCTATTATCTGTGTCCATGGGTTATGCATATCTATATGTATAAAAGGCTAAGTGTCCATCCGACTGGTAGCTATGATGTGCACTGACCACCAGGAGGCAGATGCTCAACGCAGGAGCTGCCATGACACACTGCCCATCTAATCAAATAAAAGAGAAACATGCAAATTGACTGCACCTCTGCTACACACCAAGCCACACCCACCAGCCAATCAGAGTGACTATATGCAAATTAACCCAACCAAGATGGCGGCCAGCAGCTGCAGAGCTGGAGCAAGTAGGAGGCTTGGTTGCCCCGGTGATGGAGGAAGCCAAGCTCCCCCACCTGCCCTGGCTGGCTGTGGCCTACACTCAAGGGAACAAAGTTTCAATTATAGAAGATAAATAAATCCCAGATACCTGCTTCCAGCCAGCCTCCACTGGGAGCTTGGGTGGCTTCGCGCTGTGGCCAGCCTGCAAAAGTCCATCAGCCCCTCACCCAGGCTGGCCAGGCACCCCAGCGGAAGCCCCACCCTGATCCGGGACACCCTTCAGGGAAAACCAGCTGGCCCCCACCCATGCACCAGGCCTCTATCCTATATAATAAAAGGATAATATGCAAATTGACCCTAACAGCAGAACCACTGGGAATGACTGGTCACTATGACACACACTGACTACCAGGGGGCAGACGCTCAATGTAGGAGCTGCCCCCTCGTGGTCAGTGTGCTCTCACGGGGGGAGCTCTGCTCAGTCACAAGCCAGGTTGACGGCTGCCAGTACAGCAGTGGTGGTGGGAGCCTCTCCCACCTCCTCAGCAACGCTAAGGATGTCTGACTGTAGCTTAGGCCTGCTCCCCGCTGGCAAGTGGACATCCCCCGAGGGCTCCCAGGCTGCCAGGGGGATGTCTGACTGGCAGCTTAGGCCCAATTCCCCAGGGAGTGGGCCTAAGCCAGCAGGTGGTCATCCCCCGAGGGGTCCCAGACTGTGAGAGGCACAGGCCGGGCAGAAGGACCTCCCCCCTCGAGTGCACAAATTTTTGTGCACCGAGCCTCTAGTTTAAAAATAAACAGCACCACAGACCTAGCACCAACAAACCAATACTCAGCTTCCCCCAAGTGGGATACCCCTGGAAAAAAGTTTAGCTACATCTGAAAGCAGGTCTAATTAAGCAAGTTTATTTTATATATATAAAGGGCTAAGTTGACTCATGCATGCATGATGCATATAAAGCTCTCACTGGCGCCAATCGCACACGTGTGTTTCGATCTCTCATTGTCAATCCTGAATTTGGTTGACATTTCTATTATAGAGAAAGGGCGAATATCGATATTAAAATATTTCTTCTAATTAATTTCCTTTCAATGTGCACAAATCCATGCACTGGGACACTTGTATGCATATATGTTTTTGGTTGATCTCTTCCCACCCACCCACCCAGCCCAGCCTTCCCTCTGAGAAGTATCTTTATTTAGTTTTGACATCAGAGTAATGCTGATGGTAAAGCATGAGTTGGCAAATATCCTCTTACTTTCTCTTTTACTAAAGAGTTTGTTAGGATTTATCATCAAACCCATTGGGAGTGACGTTTTCTTATGGATACGTTTTAAACTAAAAGTTCATTTAAAAACTATAGATCAGGTTCTCTGTCTTTTTGACTGAGCTTTGGTTTGTGTCTATAATTTGTCCATTTCTACCAACTTTTAAAATGTGATCATGTACTATTGTTTATAATATTCTTGTATTGTCCTTTAACATCGTTAGGATATGAAGTGATGCCCCTGTTTACATTCCCAATACTTATAACTCGTGTAACTCGTGTGTTCTCTTTCTTTTTTTTTTTAATCCTCACTCAAGGATATTTTTCCATTGATTTTTAGAGAGAGTGAAAGAGAGAGGGAAAGACAGAAAGAAACATCGATGTGAGAGAAACCTATCGATTGGTTGCCTCCAGTGTGCGCCCTGATCAGGGCCCAGGCCAAGGAGAAGCCTGCTTCTGAGGTACATGCCCTTGACTAGAATCAAACCTGGGACCCTTCTGTTCATAGGACGACACTCTATGCATTGAGCCAAACTGGCTAGGGCTGTTCTCTCTCCTGTTGTTTCCCTCATCTGTCTGGCTAATAGTATATCAACTTGATTATTTTTTTGCAAAAACACACACACCAAAAAAATACCTGCTTTTGATTTCATTAACTTTCTGCAATTTTTTTAATTATCCAGTTTATAAATTTCTTTGTTTATATTATTTCCTTTCTTTTGTTTACTTTGTTATATATTCTTTTTTGTATGTTAATGCTTTAGACATTTTTAACATAATATTTTTGCCTTTACTATTTTGTTTAATTAATTTTTATACCTATTTTTACTTCAATTACAGTTGACATTCAATATTATATTAGTTTCACATGCACAGCATAGTGGTTAGACATTTATATAACTTATGCAGTGATAATTCCAGTACCCCTCTGGCACCATACACAGTTATTACAATATTATCCTTATCTAATAAAAGAGAAACATGGTAATTGACGTACGACCGCTACCCTTCCCATTGGCTAATCAGTGAGATATGCAAATTAACTGATAGCCAAGATGACGGGCAGCAGCCAGGCAGCTTAAAGCGACATGAATGAGGCTTGCTTGCTTCAGTGATGGAGGACTCCAACGTTCCTTGCCTGCTGCTACAGGCCTCTGAGCCTGCAGTTTGAAACATAGTAACAAATATAGAAGCTAAAAAAAACTCCAGAAACCTGCTTTCAGCAAGCCGGGATCTCAGAGCTGGAGTTGATACAGAGTTTCGATTATAGAACACAAACAAGTCTGGGCCTGAGGGTTTCCGCTTTCCCAGCAGCAGAGGCCGCAGAGCTGGAGCCAGAGCTAAAGCTGGCCCAGAATAAAAAAGAAAAAAAAGGAGCGGTTGGGAGCTTCTGTCCCCGACAAGCCTGAAAACGGCCCTCAGCCCCTCACCCAGACTGGCCAGGCACCCCAGTGGGGATCCTCACCCTGAAGGGGGTGTGACCAGCTGCAAACAGCCATCATCCCCTCATCCAGGCTGG